GAGGGCGGCCCTACGAGCCGCGAGAGAGGCCAAACTGCCTGGAAAAGCCCAGGGTTCGCGGCTTTGAGGGGTGGTGGTTGTTTCCCCCACACACAAGCACTGTATTTTAAAAGCCACCTACGTCAGCTTTGGTTTGGGGGGAAGGGCGGAGGGTCACGAGATATGTATGAGGTCACAGCAGTTCATACAAACTCCTCGTTCTGAAAGCCCCAGTTACTATGAGACGACAGCAATCTCACAGGTGCCCTCACGTTCTCCCCCGCCGGCCCAAGTGGCCATCCCGGTCCCGCAATCAGCCCCGGCGGCCTCTTGGTCCCTAACAAGTCCCTAAAACAAATGGTGCCCCAGGCAGGAGCCTCCTGCGCCGTCCCCACTTGCCCTTCTCAGTTTGACAAGCACCCGAGGAAGGGCTGTCACTGAAAAGATGGCACCAGCGCCAATGCATTTAGTACATCCAAAAGCCTAGAGTTGAGGAAGGCCATTAAACCAGTTCTCACCCTGCTGTTCAAACCAAGGGCTGCTGGTGAGCGTGTTCCAGCTGAGCCCTGTACCCTGATGGCCTCTGACGAGAGGAGAACCACCTTGTCCAAGCAGGTGGAAGTTCAAACTGTTGCCAGCTGCAACCTGCTGTCGCATACCTTCATCTTGGGAGTGTCCTGCACTTGGACGCCAAAGCCGCGAAGTCTGGGTTTGTGCCGAATTCAGTGCCTCGGCTGAGCTCCTGCTGAGATCCCAGTACAGAAGATGGGGGCACAGGTACGACTGCCTCCAGAAGCAGCTCAACGTACGTACGCTGTTGCGTTTTCAGCTGCTGGACTTCCCACGTAGCTCTAATACGGACGTATTGCGACAAAGCCAGCCTCAAGATGCCAGAGCTGTAGAGCGTTGTATTTGGAGTTGCAAGGGTGGCCTAATAAAATGCCGAGAACGTGTAACACGGATGTTAATTTTGCCTTCCATTGCAAAACCAGCAAATGGGTTCAACATTACCACGTGTACCAGTTGGATGACACCTCTCTTTAAAAAAAACCCCAAACCCAAAGAGCTTATGCATTTGACAGGCCTTGATGGAATACAGAAACAACCTGGTCAGGGTTGTATCAGAATATAATTACTGCATTTTTCTTGCTGCTTCCAACATAGCCATCAGACTTCATACTACTCTTTCGTACAAAATGGTTATATCTGATTTTCTCACATCAGGATTATTTACTTTAATTATCACCGTAAAGGTTTCCACTGAGACTCACAGGCTTTTCACTACTTCCTGCCTGTGATACGTTTTATGGTTACTAAGTATGGTTTTCTATAGCAGATGGATTTCTCATTCCTTACAGGTTTACACATTTATATTACTCGTAGTCTTCTTTGGGCATCACATACTAAAGGAGCAATGAGCAGTAAGTGATGGGGAAAGAAAAGACATTCTGTTACACTCGTTAATTCTCTGGTTGAACAGATTCATACATCCAATTTACATGCAAGGATTGAACAGTAACTCTCCTGCTGTCATGACCACCATGCAGAATCCAGATTCAAACCCAAACAGAAAAAAAAAAAAAGATTTTTGAAGTCCGCTGGGTACCATACACATTACTTCCGTCGCTTTTCCTCCCCGTTGGTAAAACTGAGGCTGAATATCATCAGCCAGCCCTACCTTTACTGCTGCATCTCCGTTGCTCATTTTTCCTTGCTGTGGTGCTGCAGTGGCAGAAGAGGCACATCCCTTTCCTCACGTGCCAGCTGGCATTTTTCCTACCGTGGCATTTAGCACTGCTTGGCTAAGTGATACCTGTGCTTGCTTCATGGTACTTGCTCCCTGGCTGCTGTAGCGCTGGTGGATTTCTGGGGTTTTTCAGTCAGCCTGGGGCAGAGTGGACGTTTCAGGCTCTGTAACTCGCAGTTTTGTGAAGTGAGTGTGAAGACTCACCAAGAAGTGAACCATTTAGTCCCCGCCTGCAAAGCTCAAGGGTCCAGTCGCAAAAGCTCCCCTCATCTGAATACAGAATAATGTAAATATACACGTGGATAGGACTTTAAGTGGGTTTCATAAATGATTCAGTGCTTGTAATCGATGCCACAATTACACACAGTAACTCTGCGTAGCCACTGTTGAATAAACTGATCGGCTATACAAATCTAGCCAATTTTTGCCAAATCAAAGCTTGCCCGAGTGCTTGCGCTACCACAGCTGAGGCATTGGGAATGAGCGGCTAAGGGAAAAGAGAGGAGAGCAAGTCCCCATTTTGGTGGAAAGGTGGTGGCACCATGTTGGATGAGAGCGGTCGCTGAGCCATGGCCTGGCAGTGAGCGTGCCTCCCAACACACTGTGCCATGAGCTCAGCCGTGTTTTACTGCCCCCCTTATGCCGCTTATAAGGTGCCCTGTGTTTCCCCACCCCCACCTAGAACCAAAGCTTATTAATTTATTAACGTAGTTTCTTGGCAGCTGTTTCAAGCAGTTTGACCCCAGAGGTCGAGAACTTCAGGCTGGGAGGGGAGCAGGCGGGAGCCCCTGCGGGGAGCGGGGCGCCGGGGGCCGCCTCACGCCGCCCAGGCCGCGGGGAAGCAGGTAGCGGCGAAGGCTGGGCCTAACAGCGAGGAGAGAGGGGAGCAAGGTCTGCTCCCGCCTCCTTCCCTCGCAGTCGCAGGGCGAGCACCCGTGGGAGCGGGAGGCAGGCGGGAAGCGAGC